TCTACAACGGGTAGAATTGACCTAAAACGACCGTGTTTAAGAATTTAACCAATACGGTCAATAAACAGTCACATTCGTAAACGACTTGTCTTGTCCTCGTTAGAGGTACGTCATGAACGCAAGTCGACACTCCTCCAACATTTTTCATTTTCCTCTATCTGTCTCCACTGCTGATTAATTCATTTGACCGTCAGTTCATCCAAGGGCGTGTTCTAGCAAGACCGACTTGCAGTTGGCGGTCCAGCGGAATCCAGTGTTTAATACCCTCGACGTTCACCGCTCATCTTTCAGATGAGCCACATTACCAGCTCATCTTCTCTTGGCGTCGAAGAAGGCAGAAATAGTCTGTTAATTCAGTGTATTGTCGAATTTGTGCGCTCGAAAGTGATCTCGGACGGACACATACATTTTCGTTCCATCACTCTTTACTTGGCCATCAGGCTGTTCCCCTCAGCTTTAGTAGCCCAACATTCAGCACCGTAAATTACGGTGAGTTGAATCGAGCATTTCTTTCTTCACCAAGAGGGGTAGCTCACTGAAAAGCAGTGATATCTTTATAAGATTAAAGCTGGCCCGTGCCGCCTACATTTTTCGGCTGATTTCTCCGCATAGTGAGTTCATAGGCAAGGAATGCATAGCTGGTGACTTCTTCGAGTTCAGGTAATTCACGTGATTTGAACCCTTGGAGTGCTCGCTTCATATCCATTTAGTTTTGGACAAATTAACTTCCTAATCGATGGGGCGAGATTCTTTTTGCAGCTGCTGGTGCTTCTGCTGGTTCTCCATCGTTTCCATCGCGAAGACGATACAGTTGTCCACAAACAACAAGTGCGTTAGCTATTCTCCATCAATACTGACGCCTTTGCACAAAATACGCGATTGAAGAATGACTTTAAGACCGCGACGAAGAGTGCCTGTCAGATGGTTTCTCCTTTGCGCATTTCTTGGTGGAACCTGATGCGTCATGGTTCGCTGAATAGCTGAATATCAATCTTGCTACCGGTGGTCAGTTCCTCAATCAAGTTGACGTTAACAGGGTTTATGCTATGTTCATGCACGGCGTTTGGCACTGTCGTCAATTCTACTGAATCGAGCGCCTGCTTGTAGCCGAAGAAGGCAGAGCAGAGTGGCACGTGATATTCATTGTACCACTTCTCTGTTTTGCGCTGGATGACATGTATATGATCGACGGTAGAAAATCATGTTCGAAAACCGGCCTGTTCCCAACTTTCTATTAGCTCGAGGTCTCTGCGAATGTGGTTCAGAATGATGCTGGTGAAGAGTTAGTAGATTTGCGACAGAAGGATAACTGGTCTTGAAATCTTCTGGCACCCTTATTCATGAAAAGAATCATCTGTGATGTCTTCGACACTTTAGGCGCCTTGCTTTGCGAGATGTATTTTGTAAAACGTCTGCCAAATGCTTTATACTTGGTTGATCCTCCAGATTTTGCGTATTCTAGTTTCGTATCATATCTGCTTGGACATTTTTCATTTTTAATATTTCTCGTTGTACACTCAACTTCGCCCCAGGTGATTTTGGGAAAGGTTTCTGGGGCAACATGTGGCAACTTCGGATTCTCGCCTAGTTTGGAATAGCACAGGTTGTTGTAAAACTTTGTGCAGATTGCGTTCATCCGATCTCGATCAACAGTTCGTGCTCCTTTTTCGTCTTTCAGCGCACGCAGAATCCAGTTTTAGACGAATATCTCGTTGCGTCACTCGCAGGCTTTTCTTCGCCCGTAGCTTCTCTTAATCGAATTCTCCTATTATTTTTGTAGCCTTTCCTAAATGTTTCTGTATCTCTTTGTACAGTGCAGTACAGGCCGCCCATTTTTCATTCTCCTTTCTGTTGAGCTGTTCTAGCAATTAGCCGCCTTGTTGAAAAGCTGATGCGTTGGCTTCTCGCTGACTTTGTTTCCCGGCTTGGTGTTTGACGGTAGTCTTGATGTCGTTAAGAAAATAGTCATAATTCGCATCTATGCTCTCGTTGATGTTCTTTTCAATACTCATTAATAACGATTCTCTGCGCAAGCCTCCAGATTGAATTGTAGGTTTTCACAGTGCGATAATCATTGGGCTCATTCTTCTTTTGCGACATCGATCGTAACTGTGGAACGCAATAGCCTGCGACCTGTCCAGAAGATTTTCTTGCCTATCACGGATACGACATTATTAGTTTTTATCACTCAGTACTTGGTTAATTTAGTCTAAAAGCTTTCCGTCTGTGCCTCTCCATCTGTCACTCACCTTGGAACTTGCTGGAAACGGTGTTCATGAGGTGAAGGTGCTTGCTTTCATTTAAAGTTGCGGAGTGACCTCCAAGTTAATATCTTTTTCCTTTTCCGATTTTTGCTGATAAACATCTCAGTGTCGTTCGTTCTATACTAATATGTTGAAGAACAATTGGGGCTACTGTCTACTGGTCTTCTTCCCATCGTGCCTTTCAATTCATCGTAGAATTGCTCGATCTCTTCATCTTTAGCTTGCTTGGTCATGATTTAGACGTCGAAAAATTTCGACAACACCTTTGGTTTATAGCTGACTGCGATGATCTTGAAGAAGTTCTTGCTTCGTTTACCAAGTTCATCATGTGGTTTACTGAGTCGTAGGTGTTGCTTAAGCCGATACGGTAACTCGTACTT